CCTGGTATAGCATCATTTAAAAAAATGTATTCTTCGTTGCCTGACGTGGTTTCAGAACTAAGGTGAATCTTCTTTCGTATAAATATTGATGAAAACGCTTGACTCCAAATCATATATTTATTTTTCCATCAATAGGTTATCACCATTCAAATGAGTATTTCCACTACGCAAAAGCTAACTTATTTTTCCATCTCATTAATGCTTGACAACCGCGAATGGTACACTTTACTATTTCTTCCAAATCACTTATTTCTTTTTCATATCACTTATTTCTTTTTTATATTTTTCTTCTAGGAGTTCTTTTATACTCGTGGAAAAACGTATTTGGTTTCGTAAAAATGCAACTTGACTTTGATGTTTTACTTCCAGTTCCACGCGAACTCTATGTTGATTATAAATTTCCTGTTTCAGTGTAGCTATTTCCTCTTCTTGGAGTTTATTTTCGAATTTGCCAAAATCAATTTCTTGTTCTAATTTTTACACTCTTGCTCTCGATTCTATAAGATCCGCTCTAAGGCGTCTAGTCTCCTAAGGACCTGTTGTCGAGTTCTTCGCTGATTCTTCATCCATTTTTTCTATTTTTTGATGTTCTATTAATTTAATTGACTTCACGGTGCCATTCTTCAATATCATTTTTTCCTTTAAAATCCACAACGTAAAATAAAATTTGTGAATTCTATCTTTCGCTTATTAACTCCTGTTCTTCTTCTTGCATCAGTCCATTTATAAACTCTGCTTTTAGATTATGAATTGTGGTTATAGATTCAAATATTTTCTCGTCCTTTACTTCTTCCTGGGCATCATCTTTCCGCTTAACTTTTCTGTTCTAGATTGCTGCTACAATACTTTTTTGTTATTTTTTATTATATCAATGTTTAGCTTTGACAATGCTTTTGGTTTTCTACAGTCTCTACCACTGGTGGGGAAAACTATAGATTTATTTTTCAAATTTAGAGTTTGTAAGGCTGTATAAAATTTGATTATTTAGTCAGATGGCTGGTGGTAACTGGTGGGTGATCACTTGAGAACTTTTTAGTTTATTGTCTTTCTCCCTTAAACACAGCACTCTTGCTAAATCCGGCTTGAAGGACCAAAATGTACTATTAAATTATTAAAGTACTCCGAGTGAGTATTTTGAAAGTACTGATTTTGTTTAGAACATTGTTCTGTATTTTTACAAAAATTATTATTATCAAGGTTAAAATAACATTTGTCTGTTATCGCTAATTTTAGTTGATTGTATTATTTTTAATTATATTTCCGGAAATTTTAAAAAAAGGACGGAACTCCGGCATTTAGGATCCTAAACATTACAATGTTTGCAATATTAATATAGGGTTTTAAACTTACGATGGAGGAATTAAGAGGACTGTTCGACATGTAGAGAGAAGAAGTAATTTTTACTTTTTAATATTTTTATAATTTATTTTTTTTTAGTTTCATAATTTTAGGAATTTCGGCGATAACAGACTTATAATAATAAACTATAATAACTATAATAATATAATAATATGGTCAGCCAAATTTCAATAAAATTAAATAAATTTTTATGTTTCTCTTTTCTTTCTTAGCTATTCGAAAACCCCCTAAATTTTAATATAGCTTCTTTGTCACCATATAAAGAAAGCGTAGCTGTTTCAGCAACACTAATATCTACTTCAATAATAATAACCATAATAACAATTACAATCGAAGTAATAATTTTACAAAAAAAAATGTAAAAAATAATGTACGAATCGTAATGTATGAAATGCCCAACAGGAAAACGAATATACTCCACCACAAAATTAAATAGCGCAATTTACACCATTAATTTACACCTACACCTAAATAGCTACATTTCTATCAAGACAACATTAAACAATTCAATTTCAAAATTTACAGGCTATCCTACTATCTAATCTTAGAGTAATCACTCTTTGCACGGGGAGGTACGCAGATCTTAGATCCATCACTGAATAATCATGAAGCTTATAAGGAATACATAAATTAGTCAATGAGATGGGTGGGATCCTGTAGTATCCCCATCTATCAAAGATTAAAAGTGCCCAGTTGTGCTGACACGAAAAAAAGGATCAACATACTTAACTAAAACTCTAATTGGTGAAAGCAAAGTGCAAGAACAAATTAGAATGCAGAATTTGTGTAAAACTTATAACTTCCAAGTTATAACATACTTGAAAGGATTTATAAAAATAAATTAGACACAATATTAATTATAATTAATTAATAACATACAGCAAATGTGCAGCAGAGAAATTAATTAAATGCAATGTAAAATGTAAACAAAATATTTAAATTCATTACCATATGGACAGTGCATTATTCACGAATCCAAGGAGAAGTAATAGAGGTGCGCTGGTGGTTTTACAAAAGGTACGCGACAATAATAAAAACAATACATAATATAAAAATATCTGTTTAATATATCGGTACCACATACTGATGCACGTCAACAACGCACATTTGTTTGAGAGATCAAATTTCAACATTTGAATTTCTGAAAAAGAAGAAGAAGTTACTAGCAAACTAGTTACTAGAAACAAGAATATGAACAGGAAAAAACTGACAATGAAAAGAAAACAGATGAAGCAGGGTACGTACGTTATATGAATGAAAGACGGGACACCATGCGAAAGAAGATTCCTATTAAAACGGCTATGGAAAATAATAGAATAATCATTGAAGAATGGAGACAGTTACCAGAAGAACGTAAAGCATCTTATACTAAAGCAGCAGCAATGAAAGAAGAAAAATGTTTAGCAGATTTACAAGTGTTTCTAAAAGCTCATCCTGGTATGGTAGTGAGCTAATTGGTTAAAACTAAATTAATACGTTTCATTGGGAACTTCTGTCATCAGAACAGATTAGGAACTCTTCTCTAGATTTAGTTCTAGACTTTATTCACAAAGCTTTAATGGGCTTTGTGTAATCAATAGAGAAATTGGTACAATAGGACTTTTCTGGCCGCAGTACCGGTTGGTGGGCGATTGCACGCTTAAACTTTAATAATAATAATAATAATAATTATAAAACTACATTAATACGTAAAGATGAGAGCAAAAATGTTGTGAAGGAAAAACCAAAACTAGAGGGTAACCACAAGTCCGCTGGTAAAAATAATGATAACAATACGAAAGATAAGGAGAAGAATGATAAGAAGAAGAATGATAAGATGAAGAATGATAGGGAGTAGAATGATAAGGAGGGGAATGATAAGGATAAGAATGACAAGAAGAAGAATGATAAGGAGAAAAATGATAAGAGGAAAAAGACAGTGGAAGAAACAAAGTATACACCGTTTGAAGTGCTGTTCGGAGTAGAAATGCGGAATCAGATATCAGATACAGAAGTGCTGCAGATATGTCAAGACAAGTTATTAGTGAAATTTCAAGATGAGCATAATCGAGTTAGAAAAGACGACAGTTTATGTGCAAGGACACAGTAGAAGAAAAAATTAAAAACCTTCAAGAACAAAAATTATCAATTGCGGAGGGAGTGCTTACTGGTGTAAAGACAAGCGGTGGTAGTAAACTTCCGATGGAAGAATTAAGAGGGCTCTTCGACATGTAGTGAGAAGAACTAATTTATACTTTTTAATATTTTTATAAAATGAAATAAAGAACAGCACAGTTGTCATATAGAGAAAACTTTGACAAGAAAATAAAAAACGATTATAGTTATTGTTATAATCTAGTATGTTTTGCATTAGTTTAAGCAATCTTAAATAATGAAAGGTAAACAAAATTTGGTTAAATATAAACTGTCAATCGTGTCGGTTGTATTTACTTCAGTTGGCGACGAGGATAAAAATCTGCAATTATTCAATCGCTTTCACGCTTATTTCGTACCGTTCAATTTTAAATACAATCATGCCGGGCGAAAGTGAAATTTATAAGCAATTGCTTAAAGAACAACAAGAGTTCTCAAAAAATTTACTGAAACAACAACGTGAGTGGATGGACTCAATGTTCCAAAAACAAGGTACTGCCGGTGTATCTGAAGGAAATCACAACATTGTTCCAGTATTTCACAAATTTTCGAAAGAATAGCAAACAACTTAACCAACATTTTTTAGCATTTTCAGTTCACTGCAGTGAAAAACAAAAATCATTTTTCTTGTCTTGGATTGGCACAGAAAATTTTGAGCTGCTAAAAAATCTTTTCGGTAACACGAAAGTACAAGAACAATCTTTCGAAAATTTAACGGAAAAACTAACGGATCATTTCCAGTCGAAACGACATGTGGTCGCTGCACGTTACGATTTTTTCAAAAGGGAAATGAAGCCACATCAATCATACAGAGAGTGGGTAGCCGATCTCCGCGGATTGGCAAGAGAGTGTAACTTTTCGTGCTCAGCCCAGAATTGTTTGCACAATTTCGTGGATGATATGATTCGTGACCAAATTATTATACGTACACCGCACGATGCTGTGCGCACGGCTGCGTTCCAAAAGCCCCAGCCGACACAACCACTAAAACGGTGGCAACAATTAAAGAACAAACGATCGAAAACTCAATGCCTGTTAATTCAGTTGGTACAATTATAAAAAAACCGGGTGTTTTCAACAATAACAATAATAAAGTAAAATTCAAATCATGTTCTGGCTGTGGAAACTCTCATGCAAGAGAAAACTGTAAATTTAGAAATGCTGTATACAATAGATGTAGCAAAATTGGCCATATTGCGCCAGTGACTTGGAAATTTGTAGATATCAAATGTGGCGGAAAAGAAAGGGAAGTGGTAATCGTTGTCGTGGATGTCGAAAACTGTAACAATTTATTGGGTTTCGATTTATTCAAAGAATTCGGGTTTGAGATTCAGCAAATTTGTAACATTACTGAAAGTGAATCACATACAATTAGCGAGCTGTGTAAGAAATATGGTGATATTTTTGAACCAGCTCTTGGCACAATAAAAAACTTTAAGGTCAGTATTTTTTTAAAGCCAAATGCACATCCGAAATTTTACAAAAGCCGACAAATTCCATTTTCGCAAATGTCACTTTTCAAGAAAGAAGTCGATCGATTGACAAATGCGGGTATTTGGAAACCTGTGAAGTTTTCCCAATGGGCTTCGCCTATTGTACTAGCGCCAAAAGCTGATGGTTCCATAAGAATTTGTGGGGATTTTAAACAAGCAGTCAATGCGCAAATTGACATTGAACAATATCCTTTGCCCATACGCGAAAGTCTTTTCCATAAAATGAATTGCGGTCAACATTTTACAAAAATCGACCTTAAGGACGCGTATTTACAAATGGAACTCGACGATGAAGCAAAAACAATAATGGTTGTCAACACTCCACTTGGGTTATTCCAATACCAACGTTTACCGTTTGGGATTGCAAGCGCTCCAGCTATATTCCAAAGATATCTTGAGCAGTTACTTCAAGGCGTAGAAGGTTGCGGAAATTATCTCGATGACATCATCATCTCCGCACCTACATTTCAACAACACATCAGCCACCTAGAACAAGTACTTCGTATTTTGCAACAAAATGGTATCAGGTGCAAGCAAGAAAAATGTTTTTTTCTGCGAGATAAAATCGAATATCTCGGGCGTCAAATTAATGCAAAAGGCATATTGCCAGATGAGTCAGGACTAAAAGCAGTAAAAAACCCGCAGCCGCCTAAAGATCTAAAGCAAGCAGAAGCATTAATGGGTAAAGTAAACTACTACCATAATTTTATACCTAATTTTTCGCAATTATCCGCGCCAATCAACATGCTGCGCCGAAAAAATGTAAAATTCACATGGGGTACAGCACAACAACAAGCATTTATAGCTCTTAAAACGCATATTCTCAATGCAGCGCAATTAGCACATTATCAGGAAGATTTACCGTTGGTTCTAGCTACAGATGCCTCCAGTGCAAAAGAAGAAGATAATCAAAAAAGTAGTGAACAAAAGAAAAATAATGAACCGAATCTTTCAACCACTTTTACAGATGAGAAGTATGAACCTGGTATAGCATCATTTAAAAAAATGTATTCTTCGTTGCCTGACGTGGTTTCAGAACTAAGGTGAATCTTCTTTCGTATAAATATTGATGAAAACGCTTGACTCCAAATCATATATTTATTTTTCCATCAATAGGTTATCACCATTCAAATGAGTATTTCCACTACGCAAAAGCTAACTTATTTTTCCATCTCATTAATGCTTGACAACCGCGAATGGTACACTTTACTATTTCTTCCAAATCACTTATTTCTTTTTCATATCACTTATTTCTTTTTTATATTTTTCTTCTAGGAGTTCTTTTATACTCGTGGAAAAACGTATTTGGTTTCGTAAAAATGCAACTTGACTTTGATGTTTTACTTCCAGTTCCACGCGAACTCTATGTTGATTATAAATTTCCTGTTTCAGTGTAGCTATTTCCTCTTCTTGGAGTTTATTTTCGAATTTGCCAAAATCAATTTCTTGTTCTAATTTTTACACTCTTGCTCTCGATTCTATAAGATCCGCTCTAAGGCGTCTAGTCTCCTAAGGACCTGTTGTCGAGTTCTTCGCTGATTCTTCATCCATTTTTTCTATTTTTTGATGTTCTATTAATTTAATTGACTTCACGGTGCCATTCTTCAATATCATTTTTTCCTTTAAAATCCACAACGTAAAATAAAATTTGTGAATTCTATCTTTCGCTTATTAACTCCTGTTCTTCTTCTTGCATCAGTCCATTTATAAACTCTGCTTTTAGATTATGAATTGTGGTTATAGATTCAAATATTTTCTCGTCCTTTACTTCTTCCTGGGCATCATCTTTCCGCTTAACTTTTCTGTGCTAGATTGCTGCTACAATACTTTTTTGTTATTTTTTATTATATCAATGTTTAGCTTTGACAATGCTTTTGGTTTTCTACAGTCTCTACCACTGGTGGGGGAAAACTATAGATTTATTTTTCAAATTTAGAGTTTGTAAGGCTGTATAAAATTTGATTATTTAGTCAGATGGCTGGTGGTAACTGGTGGGTGATCACTTGAGAATTTTTTAGTTTATTGTCTTTCTCCCTTAAACACAGCACTCTTGCTAAATCCGGCTTGAAGGACCAAAATGTACTATTAAATTATTAAAGTACTCCGAGTGAGTATTTTGAAAGTACTGATTTTGTTTAGAACATTGTTCTGTATTTTTACAAAAATTATTATTATCAAGGTTAAAATAACATTTGTCTGTTATCGCTAATTTTAGTTGATTGTATTATTTTTAATTATATTTCCGGAAATTTTAAAAAAAGGACGGAACTCCGGCATTTAGGATCCTAAACATTACAATGTTTGCAATATTAATATAGGGTTTTAAACTTACGATGGAGGAATTAAGAGGACTGTTCGACATGTAGAGAGAAGAAGTAATTTTTACTTTTTAATATTTTTATAATTTATTTTTTTTTAGTTTCATAATTTTAGGAATTTAGGCGATAACAGACTTATAATAATAAACTATAATAACTATAATAATATAATAATATGGTCAGCCAAATTTCAATAAAATTAAATAAATTTTTATGTTTCTCTTTTCTTTCTTAGCTATTTGAAAACCCCCTAAATTTTAATATAGCTTCTTTGTCACCATATAAAGAAAGCGTAGCTGTTTCAGCAACACTAATATCTACTTCAATAATAATAACCATAATAACAATTACAATCGAAGTAATAATTTTACAAAAAAAAATGTAAAAAATAATGTACGAATCGTAATGTATGAAATGCCCAACAGGAAAACGAATATACTCCACCACAAAATTAAATAGCGCAATTTACACCATTAATTTACACCTACACCTAAATAGCTACATTTCTATCAAGACAACATTAAACAATTCAATTTCAAAATTTACAGGCTATCCTACTTGCTACTATCCTACTATCTAATCTTAGAGTAATCACTCTTTGCACGGGGAGGTACGCAGATCTTAGATCCATCACTGAATAATCATGAAGCTTATAAGGAATGAAGCTTATTATTAGTCAATGAGATGGGTGGGATCCTGTAGTATCCCCATCTATCAAAGATTAAAAGTGCCCAGTTGTGCTGACACGAAAAAAAGTATCAACATACTTAACTAAAACTCTAATTGGTGAAAGCAAAGTGCAAGAACAAATTAGAATGCAGAATTTGTGTAAAACTTATAACTTCCAAGTTATAACATACTTGAAAGGATTTATAAAAATAAATTAGACACAATATTAATTATAATTAATTAATAACATACAGCAAATGTGCAGCAGAGAAATTAATTAAATGCAATGTAAAATGTAAACAAAATATTTAAATTCATTACCATATGGACAGTGCATTATTCACGAATCCAAGGAGAAATAATAGAGGTGCGCTGGTGGTTTTACAGAAGGTACGCGACAATAATAAAAACAATACACAATATAAAAATATCTGTTTAATATATCGGTACCACATACTGATGCACGTCAACAACGCACATTTGTTTGAGAGATCAAATTTCAACATTTGAATTTCTGAAAAAGAAGAAGAAGTTACTAGCAAACTAGTTACTAGAAACAAGAATATGAACAGGAAAAAACTGACAATGAAAAGAAAACAGATGAAGCAGGGTACGTACGTTATATGAATGAAAGACGGGACACCATGCGAAAGAAGATTCCTATTAAAACGGCTATGGAAAATAATAGAATAATCATTGAAGAATGGAGACAGTTACCAGAAGAACGTAAAGCATCTTATACTAAAGCAGCAGCAATGAAAGAAGAAAAATGTTTAGCAGATTTGCAAGTGTTTCTAAAAGCTCATCCTGGTATGGTAGTGAGCTAATTGGTTAAAACTAAATTAATACGTTTCATTGGGAACTTCTGTCATCAGAACAGATTAGGAACTCTTCTCTAGATTTAGTTCTAGACTTTATTCACAAAGCTTTAATGGGCTTTGTGTAATCAATAGAGAAATTGGTACAATAGGACTTTTCTGGCCGCAGTACCGGTTGGTGGGCGATTGCACGCTTAAACTTTAATAATAATAATAATAATAATAATAATAAAACTACATTAATACGTAAAGGTGAGAGCAAAACTGTTGTGAAGGAAAAACCAAAACTAGAGGGTAACCACAAGTCCGCTGGTAAAAATAATGATAACAATACGAAAGATAAGGAGAAGAATGATAAGATGAAGAATGATAGGGAGTAGAATGATAAGGAGGGGAATGATAAGGAGGGGAATGATAAGGATAAGAATGACAAGAAGAAGAATGATAAGGAGAAAAATGATAAGAGGAAAAAGACAGTGGAAGAAACAAAGTATACACCGTTTGAAGTGCTGTTCAGAGTAGAAATGCGGAATCAGATATCAGATACAGAAGTGCTGCAGATATGTCAAGACAAGTTATTAGTGAAATTTCAAGATGAGCATAATCGAGTTAGAAAAGACGACAGTTTATGTGCAAGGACACAGTAGAAGAAATAATTAAAAACCTTCAAGAACAAAAATTATCAATTGCGGAGGGAGTGCTTACTGGTGTAAAGACAAGCGGTGGTAGTAAACTTCCGATGGAAGAATTAAGAGGGCTCTTCGACATGTAGTGAGAACAAAAATTATCAATTGCGGAGGGAGTACTTACTGGTGTAAAGACAAGCGGTGGTAGTAAACTTCCGATGGAAGAATTAAGAGGGCTCTTCGACATGTAGTGAGAAGAACTAATTTATACTTTTTAATATTTTTATAAAATGAAATAAAGAACAGCACAGTTGTCGTATAGAGAAAACTTTGACAAGAAAATAAAAAACGATTATGGTTATTGTTGGACATACAGTTATTAATTGGAATTGTGCTTTATTTGTGTGGTTTTATCCCAACAACATATTACATAGATCACATAAATTCATAGAGAATAAGCATTTTAACTAGCAACAAGCATTGTGTTTAAAAAAGATAAGTGGAATAAAACAGAAAACCACATATATATACTTTAGTATTTTATAATTGTTATATAGTTTTAAATAAATAAGTGGGGTATGATCTTAACCACCCCCAAATGTGTTGTATTTAAAACTAAATTATTGTACCAGTTATTGTAATATGGTCACCTTAATTTAAAAATAAGTTATAAGGTAACCTTATTATTGTGAATACTCACCTCTCTTAGTAGTAAGCAAAGAATATCTTTACATTCTTTGGTAGTAAGTAAACACATGTAAATTTAGTCGTTAAGTACTCATTTAATAAAGAACATCGTAGTGTCGACGAGGAAAAAAAAAACCAGTAAAGATGGTCTCATTGGAAAAGAATCAAGTTTTGAGTAAATTACCCAGTTTTGACCACGAAAATGGTTCGTGGAACATATACAAGTCGAAGTTGTAGCAATTCTTGATCTGCAACGAGGTCACTCTAGTTGTAAAAATATGATCTGTATATATGAATATAGGAGTCACTTTAGAAAAGAAAGTAAGAGGCAAGACGACGCGTGGCGAGACTGCACAAAATATAAGTAAAAACATTATATCTAATTCGTTTCTAATATCAGAAGTGGGATTGTACCTAAATTGATGAATTTTAATATAGTTGATCAATTGAAAATTATTATTGTTGGACATTTAAACAAAAAAATAAGTAGTTGATCAAATGTGGTGGCACCAACGTTAGTTGGTGGTGGTAATTTTAATATTACAATAGATGTAATAAATGCGCTGCTAAAGCTAGGCAGCAGGAGAGTGAGTTCTCAAGCCATTGAAGAATCACTATCACATCCATTAAAATTGACTTTTTGGTACCATTTGCACGCTGATGGCATCATTGGTCCTTATTTGTTTCGAAATGAAGAAGGAGACCTCCTGACATTGATTGGGGAGCACTATTGAGCCATGCTGATTGAATTTTTGTTTCCAAAAGTTAATCAGTTAAATATCGATGACATTTTTGGTTCCAACAAGACGGGGGGGCAATTTGCCATACACCAATGTTAAGTCATTGGTTTATGCCGACAAACCAGCAACTTTTAAAGCATTGTTAATTCTGTTGCAAACAATCTAATCGCGTTTTCGATTCGTAGATCTGGATTCAATACTGATTTACTCTCGATCTGTTAAATTTTTTTGCCCAATCGAACGTTTTCCGAGTAATCTAACAAGTTTGTAGTTGTGTTACTAAGGTTTTGACAAGTCACATACAATCCGTGTCATAGAAATGGATGAAATGGATAACGAAATTGAATATGTTGTTTGTAGTTTTAGTAAATAAATTAATTTAAATAATTAATTAAATTAAATTGCAGTCATCTACAAATTTAATATGAATTTTAGGTGATGATGAATATATCTTCAGCCAAACTCAGTCGCCTCGGGAATGGTCAGAAGAAAATACGAAGTATGTGCACGACCTATACGTGAAATACCAGGAATATATTAAACCATTAAAAAAAATGTAAAAACAAAAAAGCAATGTGGGAAAGAGTATGGGTGATGAGCTGACAACCAGGTGAAAAGTCGCTATAAGTGCTTAACTTGCGATGGAGGAACTAAAAGGCCTATTTAACATGTAGAGAGAAGAATGTCTAAGTTATTTTTTAAAATTTTTATAGTTTACTGTAGTATTGAAATTTAACAATTAAAAATAAAAATATAACTAATTAATTAATTCAATTATTCTACAGCTGGTTTATGATTTTAATAAAAACTTTCATAGTAATAGTAACAAAACTCCAGAAAAATATGCGAACAAAAAAGTAAAGTACGGCTTTGGATCAGTTGAGGTGCGCTGATTCTGAGCTTTACATTTGGCAGAACCCAATTTCAACTCCTGGTACTTGCAGTCTCAAAAAAGTCTTTATAATTTACTATATATGATATAATTTTTATAATTTCTTATATGTATATGTAAAATTAATTTTGTCCAAAAAATTTCCTCCATTCCATTTTTCGTTCTTTCCGTAATAATTGCAAATTTATATTAAAGTAAAAATAAATACACATATTATATGCTTATAAATTAACATTTGAAAATGATTGGAACTATTTTTAATAGTTTTCTATTTTGATCTATTTTCAATTTGGCGCAATGGGTAAGATAAAGTCAAAAATTGCAAAATATTCATTTCCAAATGAGTCCAAGTCCAATCCAGATAGACTGACAGTTAGAAGGAACTAATTACAATTTAGTTGAACATGTCTGCTGTTCGAGGACAATTACAATGATAACTAACTTCGGGTTGTACTTAGCTGCATAAACAAGATCAGACAAAAACTATTTTACTAAAGATCTTATATTTCTGGAAAGTATATGTACATAACTATTTATTATTCAGTTATCCATGCTAAATTTAAAGTTGTTCACAAAATTATAATAATTATATATATAATGCCTTAAATTATATAAGCTGAAGCTGATCTTGAATATAGTGGTGATGTTGTTTTACTGTCAAATAAAGAAATATGAAGAAAGTATTATTGATTTTGGTGGTGCATTAACAGAACCAATAGGCAAATTTATGGGACTAGATAGACTAGATAGAATTTATCGAACTAGATAGTGTTGAATTGGAACACTACATAGTGATTCTAACTGACTACATGTGACATTTTATGTAAATGCAGATATATGTCGCACGAAAACGGTTACAACTTCATTTCGGTGATTTCAAAAAAAATAAAATAAAGAAGAATAATGAAAGGAAGAAGAATAATAAGCAAAAAGTAATTGTAAATAAAATATTCACAATGGGGGGAGAACTGAAAGTAGTTAATAACAAAGAAGAAAACTTTTAAGAGCATGAAGAAGTAGTTCCAGAGCAGGAAGTTGTTATAAGAGAAGATCAAGTCGGTAGCAATCACAAGTGGAAAGAAGTTGTAAAAGAAAACAAAATTGGCGGCGATGAAAAACTTGTGACACTAACAAAAAAAAAACAAAACAAAAAAAGTCTAAAACAAAATGTAACGGTCAGTTTGAAAAGAGCTAAGGATGCGTTATATAAGAGAATGTGACGTATGAACCCTGAATATCGCGAAAAAGAAAGAATAAGAAGTAGGGAATGTATAAAATTATACGCCAAACGTATACGTAGTGATCCTGTTTTACTTGCAACATTTACAGAAAAGGATCGTAGACGCAAATCTTCTGCACCGGAATGATACAAATCAAGACTCTGAAAACAAATTAAATTACTTAAATCATTTAATTGAGCTTATCAAGAAGGAAAATACGAAAAGCAATCCGTCATATGGATCCAAATTATCGCATTCAAGAACGAGAACAAGATCGTTTACGTCGTTCTGCAAAACGTCAGGAGTTACAGTATCGTGTACACGAACAACAGATCAACACATTACGGCGAAAGCAATGACGTCATATGTAAACGAAGAAACCACGACATTATCTACTGACCATCGAGTTCGACCTAATTACAGATTGTAACGCGTATAAATACACAACAACAAAATATATTTCAATGTCAGAGCTACAAAACAAGTAGCGTTGCCGAACGTTGGAATAAAGTAAAGGTGTAGAAAATATTCTTTTCTTGTCTTAATAAGTGTCACATCACAATAAATTCTCGGTTAAAGAAATATTGTGGTATAAATAAATGTAGAACAGAAGAAGCATATAACATTGCTTGCTGAGATAGCACTAAATAATACAGGATTTAGTTGCCAAACTTCATCGCCTGACAACTTATTTAAAATTTTGCCTGTAACATTGTGTGGACCAAGAGGTCATTATACCACATTTGCCATATTTAACGAGAATTCGTCCATATCCATAATTGAAGAGCAAGTCACCTTCACAGTATAGCTATAACCACTTACACGACAATGGTTTGGGCGTCAAAAAAAACGCATTGAGAAAATGTCAACACTGTCCGTAATTTGAGTTTACCTGTACAAGGCAAAATATCCACATATAGAGGACATTCCGATTGCTGAATACCAATGTGTGAAGCCAACAGTTTTAATTAATATTGATAATACATATTTTGGAGTTCCGTCAGAGATAATGCAAGGTGGCAATCCTACCGCCATCAAAAGAAAATTAGGTTGGGTTGCTTATGGTCTAAAAGAAGACCGCGTCCAATTGTGCTGCACATACAAAATCATGACATTGATGGGAATTTAAACCGCCTAGTAGCCACCACGCGTTATATTGGTGGTTGCTATGAGACAGGTCTATTGTGGAAGACATCAGCGTCATTGTTACTTGACAGCTTGGAGATGGCGAGCATCCATTTCAAAGGTATTGAGAAGAAGATGAGTAGTAATTTTCGCAGCAATATCGAACAGAAATGAATAACTATTTTGCCAAGGATTATGCTAGTCTTAACAAACGATGAGTTAAAACTGTGCTGTTAAAAATGTGCACAAGCCAGACTAGAGTCGCATGCTGTTGCCATAGCGAATGGAGTTTCACTCAACTCACAACTACTTAATGGACCGGAGCAAGCAGAAACATTACTTGATATTTTGGTTACGTTTCGACAAGATGAAGTCGGAGTACCCGCGATATAAAAAAGATGTTCTCCCAAGTGAAAATACGCGCAAAAGATCAGCATGCCCAGGGATTCTTATGGTGAATCAAAACCGATGACCCTCAAAGTTTACCATTGTGCTATGACGTCTATGATTTCTGGTGCTATATGTTACCCATGTTGTGTGGTATATATCAAAACCAAAATGCAGAAAATTTCCGTGAAGAGTATCCTGAAGCAGTTGATATAATTATCAACCAACATTATGCAGATGATTTAGTTTGTGGGTTTTCATCTGAAGATGACATTATTAAAATATGCCAACGAGGTGTCAATATATATCGTTGATCAGGTTTTAAGCTCAAAAATTTAGTGTCCAATTCAAAGTACGTTGATCAGACTATGAATTTCAATTTCACTTAGATAGCTATAACAAGCCATATTGTGAGTATGGAACTTTCAACGTCAGTAGAAAAAATTCTACGAATGCAGTGGAATACGCACCAGGATGTATTCGAGTATCATACCAAATTCCATCGTGTAACAAATTACGTTTTAAAAAGAACACAAAAGAGAACTTTTGTCTATTAACATACAATGGCAGGTGTTTGACCCTTATGGGTTTAATGTCGACTTCCTGTTACAGCCCAAACTTCTTGTGCAACGGGTATGGAAATATCAAGTAGAGTAGGGCGAGCCTATACCTGTGCCAATTTTTAAGCTTTCATGAACAAGCACATCATCAAAATAATGTTGTGACTATTAATGAAATTCGTCAACGTTTTTGGGTGCCACATATTGAAAAGGTCATAAAAAACGTTCAACGTAAATACCAAACGCCCATTCACATATACTGGCATGGACCTGTTTGATCCTGTTAGTGTCGCTATTGGTCGCTAACAAGAAAAACTTTTCAACGGATGCCTTCATTCTTAGCTTGCGAAATTTTGGTACCAAGCATCGTACTCCAGTTCGTATTCGGTGTGATAATGGTACTAACTTTATAAGGGCGCACAAAGAATTATGAGCAAACAAGAAAATGTAAAACACCGATCGTATCCAACAGAAGGTTCCAACAACTATATTGAGTAGATTTTCAATTGTCCTGCTAACCCCAGCACTCATGGTTACTGAGAACGTTTAATTCGTATCGAAGAATGACACGTCACGGTGCCATTCTTCAATATCATTTTTTCCTTTAAAATCCACAACATAAAATAAAATTTGTGAATTCTATCTTTCGCTTATTAACTCCTGTTCTTCTTCTTGCATCAGTCCATTTATAAACTCTGCTTTTAGATTATGAATTGTGGTTATAGATTCAAATATTTTCTCGTCCTTTACTGCTTCCTGGGCATCATCTTGCCGCTTAACTTTTCTGTTCTAGATTGCTGCTACGATACTTTTTTGTTATTTTTTATTATATCAATGTTTAGCTTTGACAATGCTTTTGGTTTTCTACAGTCTCTACCACTGGTGGGGGAAAACTATAGATTTATTTTTCAAATTTAGAGTTTGTAAGGCTGTATAAAATTTGATTATTTAGTCAGATGGCTGGTGGTAACTGGTGGGTGATCACTTGAGAACTTTTTAGTTTATTGTCTTTCTCCCTTAAACACAGCACTCTTGCTAAATCCGGCTTGAAGGACCAAAATGTACTATTAAATTATTAAAGTACTCCGAGTGAGTATTTTGAAAGTACTGATTTTGTTTAGAACATTGTTCTGTATTTTTACAAAAATTATTATTATCAAGGTTAAAATAACATTTGTCTGTTATCGCTAATTTTAGTTGATTGTATTATTTTTAATTATATTTCCGGAAATTTTAAAAAAAGGACGGAACTCCGGCATTTAGGATCCTAAACATTACAATGTTTGCAATATTAATATAGGGTTTTAAACTTACGATGGAGGAATTAAGAGGACTGTTCGACATGTAGAGAGAAGAAGTAATTTTTACTTTTTAATATTTTTATAATTTATTTTTTTTTAGTTTCACAATTTTAGGAATTTAGGCGATAACAGACTTATAATAATAAACTATAATAACTATAATAATATAATAATATGGTCAGCCAAATTTCAATAAAATTAAATAAATTTTTATGTTTCTCTTTTCTTTCTTTGCTATTCGAAAACCACCTAAATTTTAATATAGCTTCTTTGTCACCATATAAAGAAAGCGTAACTGTTTCAGCAACACTAATATCTACTTCAATAATAATAACCATAATAACAATTACAATCGAAGTAATAATTTTACAAAAAAAAATGTAAAAAATAATGTACGAATCGTAATGTATGAAATGCCCAACAGGAAAACGAATATACTCCACCACAAAATTAAATAGCGCAATTTACACCATTAATTTACACCTACACCTAAATAGCTACATTTCTATCAAGACAACATTAAACAATTCAATTTCAAAATTTACAGGCTATCCTACTTGCTACTATCCTACTATCTAATCTTAGAGTAATCACTCTTTGCACGGGGAGGTACGCAGATCTTAGATCCATCACTGAATAATCATGAAGCTTATAAGGAATGAAGCTTATTATTAGTCAATGAGATGGGTGGGATCCTGTAGTATCCCCATCTATCAAAGATTAAAAGTGCCCAGTTGTGCTGACACGAAAAAAAGGATCAACATACTTAACTAAAACTCTAATTGGTGAAAGCAAAGTGCAAGAACAAATTAGAATGCAGAATTTGTGTTAAACTTATAACTTCCAAGTTATAACATACTTGAAAGGATTTATAAAAATAAATTAGACACAATATTAATTATAATTAATTAATAACATACAGCAAATGTGCAGCAGAGAAATTAATTAAATGCAATGTAAAATGTAAACAAAATATTTAAATTCATTACCATATGGACAGTGCATTATTCACGAATCCAAGGAGAAATAATAGAGGTGCGCTGGTGGTTTTACAGAAGGTACGCGACAATAATAAAAACAATACATAATATAAAAATATCTGTTTAATATATCGGTACCACATATTGATACACGTCAACAACGCACATTTGTTTGAGAGATCAAATTTCAACATTTGGATTTCTGAAAAAGAAGAAGAAGTTACTACTACTATAAGTGAGAAACAAGAATATGAACAGGAAAAAACTGACAATGAAAAGAAAACAGATGAAGCAGGGTACGTACGTTATATGAATGAAAGACGGGACACCATGCGAAAGAAGATTCCTATTAAAACGGCTATGGAAAATAATAGAATAATCATTGAAGAATGGAGACAGTTACCAGAAGAACGTAAAGCATCTTATACTAAAGCAGCAGATATGAATGATAAGGAGGGGAATGATAAGGATAAGAATGACAAGAAGAAGAATGATAAGGAGAAAAATGATAAGAGGAAAAAGACAGTGGAAGAAACAAAGTATACACCGTTTGAAGTGCTGTTCGGAGTAGAAATGCGGAATCAGATATCAGATACAGAAGTGCTGCAGATATGTCAAGACAAGTTATTAGTGAAATTTCAAGATGAGCATAATCGAGTTAGAAAAGACGACAATTTATGTGCAAGGACACAGTAGAAGAAAAAATTAAAAACCTTCAAGAACAAAAATTATCAATTGCGGAGGGAGTGCTTACTGGTGTAAAGACAAGCGGTGGTAGTAAACTTCCGATGGAAGAATTGAGAGGGCTCTTCGACATGTAGTGAGAAGAACTAATTTATACTTTTTAATATTTTTATAAAATGAAATAAAGAACAGCACAGTTGTCGTATAGAGAAAACTTTGACAAGAAAATAAAAAACGATTATGGTTATTGTTGGACATACAGTTATTAATTGGAATTGTGCTTTATTTGTGTGGTTTTATCCCAACAACATATTACATAGATCACATAAATTCATAGAGAATAAGCATTTTAACTAGCAACAAGCATTGTGTTTAAAAAAGATAAGTGGAATAAAACAGAAAACCACATATATATACTTTAGTATTTTATAATTGTTATATAGTTTTAAATAAATAAGTGGGGTATGATCTTAACCACCCCCAAATGTGTTGTATTTAAAACTAAATTATTGTACCAGTTATTGTAATATGGTCACCTTAATTTAAAAATAAGTTATAAGGTAACCTTATTATTGTGAATACTCACCTCTCTTAGTAGTAAGCAAAGAATATCTTTACATTCTTTGGTAGTAAGTAAACACATGTAAATTTAGTCGTTAAGTACTCATTTAATAAAGAACATCGTAGTGTCGACGAGGAAAAAAAAAACCAGTAAAGATGGTCTCATTGGAAAAGAATCAAGTTTTGAGTAAATTACCCAGTTTTGACCACGAAAATGGTTCGTGGAACATATACAAGTCGAAGTTGTAGCAATTCTTGATCTGCAACGAGGTCACTCTAGTTGTAAAAATATGATCTGTATATATGAATATAGGAGTCACTTTAGAAAAGAAAGTAAGAGGCAAGACGACGCGTGGCGAGACTGCACAAAATATAAGTAAAAACATTATACCTAATTCGTTTCTAATATCAGAAGTGGGATTGTACCTAAATTGATGAATTTTAATATAGTTGATCAATTGAAAATTATTATTGTTGGACATTTAAACAAAAAAATAAGTAGTTGATCAAATGTGGTGGCACCAACGTTAGTTGGTGGTGGTAATTTTAATATTACAATAGATGTAATAAATGCGCTGCTAAAGCTAGGCAGCAGGAGAGTGAGTTCTCAAGCCATTGAAGAATCACTATCACATCCATTAAAATTGACTTTTTGGTACCATTTGCACGCTGATGGCATCATCGGTCCTTATTTGTTTCGAAATGAAGAAGGAGACCTCCTGACAGTGATTGGGAAGCACTGTTGAGCCATGCTGATTGAATTTTTGTTTCCAAAAGTTAATCAGTTAAATATCGATGACATTTTTGGTTCCAACAAGACGGCAGGGCAATTTGCCAGACACCAATGTTAAGTCATTGGTTTATGCCGACAAACCAGCAACTTTTAAAGCATTGTTAATTCTGTTGCAAACAATCTAATCGCGTTTTCGATTCGTAGATCTGGATTCAATACTGATTTACTCTCGATCTGTTAAATTTTTTTGCCCAATCGAACGTTTTCCGAGTAATCTAACAAGTTTGTAGTTGTGTTACTAAGGTTTTGACAAGTCACATACAATCCGTGTCATAGAAATGGATGAAATGGATAACGAAATTGAATATGTTGTTTGTAGTTTTAGTAAATAAATTAATTTAAATAATATAATTGCAGTCATCTACAAATTTAATATGAATTTTAGGTGATGATGAATATATCTTCAGCCAAATTCAGTCGCCTCGGGAATGGTCAGAAGAAAATACGAAGTATGTGCACGACCTATACGTGAAATACCAGGAATATATTAAACCATTAAAAAAAATGTAAAAACAAAAAAGCAATGTGGGAAAGAGTATGGGTGATGAGCTGACAACCAGGTGAAAAGTCGCTATAAGTGCTTAACTTGCGATGGAGGAACTAAAAGGCCTATTTAACATGTAGAGAGAAGAATGTCTAAGTTATTTTTTAAAATTTTTATAGTTTACTGTAGTATTGAAATTTAACAATTAAAAATAAAAATATAACTAATTAATTAATTCAATTATTCTACAGCTGGTTTATGATTTTAATAAAAACTTTCATAGTAATAGTAACAAAACTCCAGAAAAATATGCGAACAAAAAAGTAAAGTACGGCTTCGGATCAGTTAAGGTGCGCTGATTCTGAGCTTTACATTTGGCAGAACCCAATTTCAACTCCTGGTACTTGCAGTCTCAAAAAAGTCTTTATAATTTACTATATATGATATACTTTTTATAATTTATTATATGTATATGTAAAATTAATTTTGTCCAAAAAATTTCCTCCATTCCATTTTTCGTTCTTTCCGTAATAATTGCAAATTTATATTAAAGTAAAAATAAATACACATATTATATGCTTATAAATTAACATTTGAAAATGATTGGAACTATTTTTAATAGTTTTCTATTTTGATCTATTTTCAATTTGGCGCAATGGGTAAGATAAAGTCAAAAATTGCAAAATATTCATTTCCAAATGAGTCCAAGTCCAATCCAGATAGACTGACAGTTAGAAGGAACTAATTACAATTTAGTTGAACATGTCTGCTGTTCGAGGACAATTACAATGATAACTAACTTCGGGTTGTACTTAGCTGCATAAACAAGATCAGACAAAAACTATTTTACTAAAGATCTTATATTTCTGGAAAGTATATGTACATAACTATTTATTATTCAGTTATCCATGCTAAATTTAAAGTTGTTCACAAAATTATAATAATTATATATATAATGCCTTAAATTATATAAGCTGAAGCTGATCTTGAATATAGTGGTGATGTTGTTTTACTGTCAAATAAAGAAATATGAAGAAAGTATTATTGATTTTGGTGGTGCATTAACAGAACCAATAGGCAAATTTATGGGACTAGATAGACTAGATAGAATTTATCGAACTAGATAGTGTTGAATTGGAACACTACATAGTGATTCTAACTGACTACATGTGACATTTTATGTAAATGCAGATATATGTCGCACGAAAACGGTTACAACTTCATTTCGGTGATTTCAAAAAAAATAAAATAAAGAAGAATAATGAAAGGAAGAAGAATAATAAGCAAAAAGTAATTGTAAATAAAATATTCACAATGGGGGGAGAACTGAAAGTAGTTAATAACAAAGAAGAAAACTTTTAAGAGCATGAAGAAGTAGTTCCAGAGCAGGAAGTTGTTATAAGAGAAGATCAAGTCGGTAGCAATCACAAGTGGAAAGAAGTTGTAAAAGAAAACAAAATTGGCGGCGATGAAAAACTTGTGACACTAACAAAAAAAAAACAAAACAAAAAAAGTCTAAAACAAAATGTAACGGTCAGTTTGAAAAGAGCTAAGGATGCGTTATATAAGAGAATGTGACGTATGAACCCTGAATATCGCGAAAAAGAAAGAATAAGAAGTAGGGAATGTATAAAATTATACGCCAAACGTATACGTAGTGATCCTGTTTTACTTGCAACATTTACAGAAAAGGATCGTAGACGCAAATCTTCTGCACCGGAATGATACAAATCAAGACTCTGAAAACAAATTAAATTACTTAAATCATTTAATTGAGCTTATCAAGAAGGAAAATACGAAAAGCAATCCGTCATATGGATCCAAATTATCGCATTCAAGAACGAGAACAAGATCGTTTACGTCGTTCTGCAAAACGTCAGGAGTTACAGTATCGTGTACACGAACAACAGATCAACACATTACGGCGAAAGCAATGACGTCATATGTAAACGAAGAAACCACGACATTATCTACTGACCATCGAGTTCGACCTAATTACAGATTGTAACGCGTATAAATACACAACAACAAAATATATTTCAATGTCAGAGCTACAAAACAAGTAGCGTTGCCGAACGTTGGAATAAAGTAAAGGTGTAGAAAATATTCTTTTCTTGTCTTAATAAGTGTCACATCACAATAAATTCTCGGTTAAAGAAATATTGTGGTATAAATAAATGTAGAACAGAAGAAGAACAGAAGAATACAGGATTTAGTTGCCAAACTTCATCGCCTGACAACTTATTTAAAATTTTGCCTGTAACATTGTGTGGACCAAGAGGTCATTATACCACATTTGCCATATTTAACGAGAATTCGTCCATATCCATAATTGAAGAGCAAGTCACCTTCACAGTATAGCTATAACCACTTACACGACAATGGTTTGGGCGTCAAAAAAAACGCATTGAGAAAATGTCAACACTGTCCGTAATTTGAGTTTACCTGTACAAGGCAAAATATCCACATATAGAGGACATTCCGATTGCTGAATACCAATGTGTGAAGCCAACAGTTTTAATTAATATTGATAATACATATTTTGGAGTTCCGTCAGAGATAATGCAAGGTGGCAATCCTACCGCCATCAAAAGAAAATTAGGTTGGGTTGCTTATGGTCTAAAAGAAGACCGCGTCCAATTGTGCTGCACATACAAAATCATGACATTGATGGGAATTTAAACCGCCTAGTAGCCACCACGCGTTATATTGGTGGTTGCTATGAGACAGGTCTATTGTGGAAGACATCAGCGTCATTGTTACTTGACAGCTTGGAGATGGCGAGCATCCATTTCAAAGGTATTGAGAAGAAGATGAGTAGTAATTTTCGCAGCAATATCGAACAGAAATGAATAACTATTTTGCCAAGGATTATGCTAGTCTTAACAAACGATGAGTTAAAACTGTGCTGTTAAAAATGTGCACAAGCCAGACTAGAGTCGCATGCTGTTGCCATAGCGAATGGAGTTTCACTCAACTCACAACTACTTAATGGACCGGAGCAAGCAGAAACATTACTTGATATTTTGGTTACGTTTCGACAAGATGAAGTCGGAGTACCCGCGATATAAAAAAGATGTTCTCCCAAGTGAAAATACGCGCAAAAGATCAGCATGCCCAGGGATTCTTATGGTGAATCAAAACCGATGACCCTCAAAGTTTACCATTGTGCTATGACGTCTATGATTTCTGGTGCTATATGTTACCCATGTTGTGTGGTATATATCAAAACCAAAATGCAGAAAATTTCCGTGAAGAGTATCCTGAAGCAGTTGATATAATTATCAACCAACATTATGCAGATGATTTAGTTTGTGGGTTTTCATCTGAAGATGACATTATTAAAATATGCCAACGAGGTGTCAATATATATCGTTGATCAGGTTTTAAGCTCAAAAATTTAGTGTCCAATTCAAAGTACGTTGATCAGACTATGAATTTCAATTTCACTTAGATAGCTATAACAAGCCATATTGTGAGTATGGAACTTTCAACGTCAGTAGAAAAAATTCTACGAATGCAGTGGAATACGCACCAGGATGTATTCGAGTATCATACCAAATTCCATCGTGTAACAAATTACGTTTTAAAAAGAACACAAAAGAGAACTTTTGTCTATTAACATACAATGGCAGGTGTTTGACCCTTATGGGTTTAATGTCGACTTCCTGTTACAGCCCAAACTTCTTGTGCAACGGGTATGGAAATATCAAGTAGAGTAGGGCGAGCCTATACCTGTGCCAATTTTTAAGCTTTCATGAACAAGCACATCATCAAAATAATGTTGTGACTATTAATGAAATTCGTCAACGTTTTTGGGTGCCACATATTGAAAAGGTCATAAAAAACGTTCAACGTAAATACCAAACGCCCATTCACATATACTGGCATGGACCTGTTTGATCCTGTTAGTGTCGCTATTGGTCGCTAACAAGAAAAACTTTTCAACGGATGCCTTCATTCTTAGCTTGCGAAATTTTGGTACCAAGCATCGTACTCCAGTTCGTATTCGGTGTGATAATGGTACTAACTTTATAAGGGCGCACAAAGAATTATGAGCAAACAAGAAAATGTAAAACACCGATCGTATCCAACAGAAGGTTCCAACAACTATATTGAGTAGATTTTCAATTGTCCTGCTAACCCCAGCACTCATGGTTACTGAGAACGTTTAATTCGTATCGAAGAATGACACGTCACGGTGCCATTCTTCAATATCATTTTTTCCTTTAAAATCCACAACATAAAATAAAATTTGTGAATTCTATCTTTCGCTTATTAACTCCTGTTCTTCTTCTTGCATCAGTCCATTTATAAACTCTGCTTTTAGATTATGAATTGTGGTTATAGATTCAAATATTTTCTCGTCCTTTACTGCTTCCTGGGCATCATCTTGCCGCTTAACTTTTCTGTTCTAGATTGCTGCTACGATACTTTTTTGTTATTTTTTATTATATCAATGTTTAGCTTTGACAATGCTTTTGGTTTTCTACAGTCTCTACCACTGGTGGGGGAAAACTATAGATTTATTTTTCAAATTTAGAGTTTGTAAGGCTGTATAAAATTTGATTATTTAGTCAGATGGCTGGTGGTAACTGGTGGGTGATCACTTGAGAACTTTTTAGTTTATTGTCTTTCTCCCTTAAACACAGCACTCTTGCTAAATCCGGCTTGAAGGACCAAAATGTACTATTAAATTATTAAAGTACTCCGAGTGAGTATTTTGAAAGTACTGATTTTGTTTAGAACATTGTTCTGTATTTTTACAAAAATTATTATTATCAAGGTTAAAATAACATTTGTCTGTTATCGCTAATTTTAGTTGATTGTATTATTTTTAATTATATTTCCGGAAATTTTAAAAAAAGGACGGAACTCCGGCATTTAGGATCCTAAACATTACAATGTTTGCAATATTAATATAGGGTTTTAAACTTACGATGGAGGAATTAAGAGGACTGTTCGACATGTAGAGAGAAGAAGTAATTTTTACTTTTTAATATTTTTATAATTTATTTTTTTTTAGTTTCACAATTTTAGGAATTTAGGCGATAACAGACTTATAATAATAAACTATAATAACTATAATAATATAATAATATGGTCAGCCAAATTTCAATAAAATTAAATAAATTTTTATGTTTCTCTTTTCTTTCTTTGCTATTCGAAAACCACCTAAATTTTAATATAGCTTCTTTGTCACCATATAAAGAAAGCGTAACTGTTTCAGCAACACTAATATCTACTTCAATAATAATAACCATAATAACAATTACAATCGAAGTAATAATTTTACAAAAAAAAATGTAAAAAATAATGTACGAATCGTAATGTATGAAATGCCCAACAGGAAAACGAATATACTCCACCACAATATTAAATAGCGCAATTTACACCATTAATTTACACCTACACCTAAATAGCTACATTTCTATCAAGACAACATTAAACAATTCAATTTCAAAATTTACAGGCTATCCTACTTGCTACTATCCTACTATCTAATCTTAGAGTAATCACTCTTTGCACGGGGAGGTACGCAGATCTTAGATCCATCACTGAATAATCATGAAGCTTATAAGGAATACATAAATTAGTCAATGAGATGGGTGGGATCCTGTAGTATCCCCATCTATCAAAGATTAAAAGTGCCCAGTTGTGCTGACACGAAAAAAAGTATCAACATACTTAACTAAAACTCTAATTGGTGAAAGCAAAGTGCAAGAACAAATTAGAATGCAGAATTTGTGTAAAACTTATAACTTCCAAGTTATAACATACTTGAAAGGATTTATAAAAATAAATTAGACACAATATTAATTATAATTAATTAATAACATACAGCAAATGTGCAGCAGAGAAATTAATTAAATGCAATGTAAAATGTAAACAAAATATTTAAATTCATTACCATATGGACAGTGCATTATTCACGAATCCAAGGAGAAATAATAGAGGTGCGCTGGTGGTTTTACAGAAGGTACGCGACAATAATAAAAACAATACATAATATAAAAATATCTGTTTAATATATCGGTACCACATATTGATGCACGTCAACAACGCACATTTGTTTGAGAGATCAAATTTCAACATTTGGATTTCTGAAAAAGAAGAAGAAGTTACTACTACTATAAGTGAGAAACAAGAATCTGAACAGGAAAAAAGTGACAATGAAAAGAAAACAGATGAAGCAGGGTACGTACGTTATATGAATGAAAGACGGGACACCATGCGAAAGAAGATTCCTATTAAAACGGCTATGGAAAATAATAGAATAATCATTGAAGAATGGAGACAGTTACCAGAAGAACGTAAAGCATCTTATACTAAAGCAGCAGATATGAATGATAAGGAGGGGAATGATAAGGATAAGAATGACAAGAAGAAGAATGATAAGGAGAAAAATGATAAGAGGAAAAAGACAGTGGAAGAAACAAAGTATACACCGTTTGAAGTGCTGTTCGGAGTAGAAATGCGGAATCAGATATCAGATACAGAAGTGCTGCAGATATGTCAAGACAAGTTATTAGTGAAATTTCAAGATGAGCATAATCGAGTTAGAAAAGACGACAATTTATGTGCAAGGACACAGTAGAAGAAAAAATTAAAAACCTTCAAGAACAAAAATTATCAATTGCGGAGGGAGTGCTTACTGGTGTAAAGACAAGCGGTGGTAGTAAACTTCCGATGGAAGAATTGAGAGGGCTCTTCGACATGTAGTGAGAAGAACTAATTTATACTTTTTAATATTTTTATAAAATGAAATAAAGAACAGCACAGTTGTCGTATAGAGAAAACTTTGACAAGAAAATAAAAAACGATTATGGTTATTGTTGGACATACAGTTATTAATTGGAATTGTGCTTTATTTGTGTGGTTTTATCCCAACAACATATTACATAGATCACATAAATTCATAGAGAATAAGCATTTT